AGAAGAATCATCCTCCAAGGCTTAGGGTACAAAAATAAAGTAGCCTAATTGCTAGCCTAAGTCCATATAAGATGATCAAATTATTTCGCTCCTTATGCTTTCACCAGCCAATTCTTCTGATACCCTGACGCTCATCCATTATTTCCAGGCAGAAATCCCCATTTTGATGAATTAATATGGGTCACCTGATATCGCGATGGGGTCGTGCCTAGATCCGGGGTCTTTTAGCTCGCTGGTGCCTAGCAGCGCGTCATGGGTAGCTCCAGGAGCTTGGAAAGGTGGATTCAAGTTGACAGAATAAGCTGAGAGTTGGATAGAGCACAATGTCTTCGAAAATGCGTGTTTTTTCAAAGAGATACCGCCAAAAAGAACAGTCAATGCTAAATAGCATGTGTCAATTGATAATGTATTCTTCTCTCAGATCCTAATTACAAGATATAGCCCTTGTGCAGTGAATTAAAGAATGACATCTCGATGATCGCCCATCGTCACCTTTTTGTCAGGCCTTGTAGGGGCCCAGGTGGGTGTCAGAAGAAGTCCCCGTTGAGACCATAAGAGATGAAATAATTTGGTCATTTTATTCCACCTTAGGCTATCGCTTAGGCTACTTTATTTTCTGTACCCTAAGCATTAGAGGACAATTATTCTGCTACCCCCACCTGGCCTTATAAGTTCAAGGAAAGTGGGGAGTTTCAGCCTAGAAGCTCGTGTTACCTTCCCATTCAGCTGAACGTCTTCATGAGCTGGAAGCCTTTAAATTGGGAAAGTGCCGACCTCATTTTCAGAATCCTCAGTTTTTTCTTTACTTCTCATCCGTTCAATCCATATCGGCTCATTCCCCCATCTTAAACCGCACCTGACGCATTAGACCAACGCAAGGATCACCCTAAGATTCGGCGATTGCTCGATTTGGTCAGCTGTTGTTGACAAGCCACAAACCGTTGGGTATGACATCGCGTCGTCTTTCAGCCCCTGATTCTTTGCCTTTACCCATTTGCTACGCAGAATTAGGGTTGTCAATACGCGATTGCTAACCTTGTATAAGTTGAGCTCATTCCCATTTTACGACTCACACTGAGCCACTTTCTCGTCTTACTGGACAATCTTACGTCTCACGTCACGCTTTGACACCAATTTTCCCCAAAATGCCTCCCAGAAGAACGGGCAGAAGTGCAGCCGCGAGTGCTCCTCCAGCCGATCCGCCTCTCGATGGCTGTGCCATTGCAGTAAGCGGAAAGTTTGAGGAGATTGGTCACAGTCATTCCTCTCTGGAAGCTCTCATTCGCAAGCACGGTGGCTCTTTCACCAGAAGTGTCACCAAGGCCACAACGCACGTTGTTTCTACCGATGATGACTTTAATCAGCAAAGCAACAAGGTCACCGCTGCACACGCCAAAGGCCTTCCTATTTTGAACCCATCGTGGCTGATTGACACCGACTCCAAGGGCACCAAGCAGAACCCTGATGACTATAGCTGGTCTTCATCCACCAACGGTGCTGCTAAGGGCACTGCTAAGGCTACTACCAACGGCACTTCCAGCAAGAGATCCCCTCCCGCTGCTGACGATGAGGATGAAGAAGACAGCCAGCCCCGAGCCAAGCGTGCCAGAAGCGCAAGCGTTGCTCCCACCAAATCAAAGCCCAAGGCCACTAAGAAGGGTGCCAAGGCCCAGGCAGATGTTGAGGAAGAGTCAGAAGAAGACGCGAAGCCCAAGAGCAAGGCTAAGGCTAAGGCTCCTGCCAAGAAGGCTACCAAGGGCAAGGCCGCAGTCAAGGCTGAACCCGAGTCTGAGGATGAAGTTGAGGAGAATCTCAAGGAAGAAAAGCAGGTCGCCGAAGGCCAGTTCATCAAGAAGAAGGATGCTGCCATTCCCCTTGACGAATACTGCACCCTCCCTACCTATCAGGTTTACGTCGATCCTGGTTCTGGTCTCATCTACGATGCGTCACTGAATCAGACCAACGCTGGTAATAACAACAATAAATTTTACCGTATTCAGGTTCTGAAGGACCCAAAGTCAGCAACTTTCAAGACGTGGACCCGATGGGGCCGTGTTGGAGAGATGGGACAAAAGGCTGTTCTCGGAAATGGAAGCCTCGATGATGCCGTCAAGGTCTTCCAGAAGAAGTTCAAGGACAAGTCAGGTCTCTCATGGGATAACCGCGGCGACAACCCCAAGCCTGGTAAATATGCTTTTGTTGAGCGTAGCTACGACGACTCGGATGATGAATCTGACGATGACGCGGGGGCTGTCAAGAAGGAGAATGGCGACGAGGATGATGTGCCAGAACCGGAGTGCAAGCTCGAGAAGCCTGTCAAGGAGTTGATGGAACTCATTTTCAACCAGCAATACTTCCAGCAAGCAATGACCTCGCTGAACTACGATGCCAACAAGCTACCCCTCGGCAAATTAAGTAAAGCCACCATTACCAGAGGTTTCCAGCAACTCAAGGATCTTGCCGCTCTATTCGACGATCCCAGTCTTGCCCAGAGCAAGCACGGCAAGAGCCTGGGTGCTATTACTCAGGAACTTTCCAACATGTTCTACTCGCTCATTCCTCACGCGTTCGGTCGCCAACGACCACCTGTCATCAACACCGAAACAATGCTCAAGAAAGAAATAGAACTTCTTGAGAGCTTGTCGGATATGAAGGAGGCAGTGGAGATCATGAAGAGTGACCGCAAGACAAGGGACACTGTCCATCCTCTTGATCGACAATTCGCCGGCCTTGGTATGGAGGAGATGACTCCTCTTGAGCATGACAGCAACGAGTTCTCTTATCTCCAGAACTATCTCCATGGTTCCAAGGGCGCAACTCACCATGTTAACTACACGGTGAAGGATATCTTCCGTATCGAGCGCCAGGGTGAATGCAAACGATTCGACGAATCTGAATTCTCCAAGATCTCCTCTGATCGTCGTCTCCTTTGGCACGGTTCTCGAACAACCAATTACGGTGGTATCCTTAGTCAGGGTCTCCGAATTGCGCCCCCTGAGGCCCCCGTGTCCGGTTACATGTTCGGCAAGGGAATTTACCTTGCCGATATGTCTTCCAAGTCAGCCAACTACTGCTGCTCCTACAACTCTGGTGGCGAAGCATTGTTGCTTCTTTGTGAAGCTGAGCTTGGAGATCCTATCCAGAAGCTCAATGATTCTAGTTATGAAGCTGGCGAAACTGCGAAGAAGCAAGGCATGCACAGTACTTGGGGTCAGGGTCAAACTGGCCCCAGCAAGTGGATTGATGCAGGAGCTGCCCACGAGAGTCTCAAGGGAATCAAGATGGTAAGTTTCTGCTTTTCTGCTTTTACATATTATTTGAAGCATTTGCTAACAATTATTTAGCCCGACCCAGAAATCAAGCCCGGCAACACCAACATTCCCGGAGCTTGGCTGCAGTACAACGAGTACATTTGTTACGATGTTGCCCAAGTCAAGCTGCGTTACTTGCTTCGCGTCAAGATGTAGGACCGCGTATGGGGCGTATGAACAGCTGGCAAGATGTATACTAGTTCTATGCGAAGATTCATGGCACGGCGTTTAAGGAGGAAAAGGGTCTGAGCATGAAATCAGGCCAGCCTTGAGCAGTAGAATAATTAGTCAGGCGTTCATTAGGCAGATAGTTTGATTGAGTTTATTGTTGACATTTTCATTTCTCGCTCCTGAAATTCATTTTATGTAAATATGTACAGTGTTAAGAACAGTTTGTGTCATGGGGTCGTTTGAGTATCGTCCATACAGGACGATGTCAGGTGGGTGTCAGAAGAATTATCCTCTAAGGCTTAGGGTACAGAAATAAAGTAGCCTAAGCCCCGGCCTAAGTTAGCTTAAGGTGACTAAAGTATCTCGTCTCTTATGCTCTCGGCGGCCAATTCTTCTGACACTGACGGATATATAGTGTCCACCTCTTCAATAGACGCATCGACCCGTAAGATCGACATTGATGGTGATGTTGTTCTCCTGGTAAGTCCAGTTGAATCTATGTCACGTTCCAGTGGTAGATGAAATCACTGGGCAACTTCTTAGAACAGGATACAGCAAGGTTGAGCTCTAGCATCTGCCCAGTGATGTTGCAATCACTGAAGCTCATGAATATTTGACGGCATTTGAACCTTGAATCTAATCCATCATATCTCCATGGCTCCGAAGAGTGATTGAGTGTTGAAAGTCTCGTTGGCCGAGATTGTTTTGAAGCCTCCGACCCTGGTGCTGCTGGGATGGCAAGTCTCTTAGAACTTCTGGCCAGGCTTCGCCAGCTGCTTCGCGGATTTGCCCCTTCAAGAATCTTTCGCAGGCGTCTGGGCGGAAGGCTGAGTAGGGGTTGGGAGCGTCGCGTCTTGGTGACACAAACCGCGAAACCCCTCTTGTATCGTTGAGATGGCTCTGGAGAACTCTGGAACACCAAAATGTAATTGGAGCTCCAGTCTTCTAGCCGGATCTTGTTTTCATCATGCCCCAACGCCTCCATGAAGAGCATCAATGCTTAGCCAATCATTGTTGGGCATCCACAAGTTCTGATCAAGTCCCATTCCATACTCTAATCCAGTATCGGTACCCAGCCCATCTGTACCCCCGTCATAGGCATTATTGATTTCCGAAATACCAAAGTCGTGACGTGGGACTATCTCTGGGACGCTCACGGCAGGCTTCACTGGAGCTTGAACTTCGGTAGTCGGATGAGGCAAGTCTGGAGACACTTGACTTTCAGGAACCCAAGGATCGGCAACGAGTGAGGGTGGGAATGTTGAATCAGTCATGGCGGACATCGAAACGGGAGCCATGGAGACGAATTGACCAGGATCGTTGATGCTTGAATCATCCGCAAGACCAGCCTGGCGTATTGGTTGAGAATATCCATTGTTGAGGGGAAGCTGCCCATGCGGATCTGGCGTGGCTGATGGCACGCGAATGGCAATACCATGAGAAATCAGCTTTTCCAAATCCGCCTGAATGCCTTCTGCTGTCTTTCCCGCACAACAAGACTTGATAGTGAGCAAGCAGATCTTGGCCCTTTCCATGACGGCATCCAAGGTAAGGTCGTATTTAAGGGCATTGGTATGATATGCGTAAGTCAACACGCGAGCGCATTGATAGGCGCAAATAGCCATGTCCAAGTCAGTCACTGGCTTTGCGTTGAGTTTGTGCATGGAAGAGAAGATGTTGGCCATTGACATGGCGTGTTCCACGCATTGTCGTTGGCAGTGATCCACAAAAGCATCATCAAGAGATGCCAGAATGACACGAGGAAGAGCTTCGCGAAGTCCTCCTAGAGCAAGACGGTACAGATCGATCTGACATTGATGCCACCAAACATGTATCATGATGAATATGCAGATTCGTGGAGAATAAGCCCGAAGTCTCAACGAGCTTTCTGAGAATTGGAAAGAAGCAGGTAGGTGTGTCGCAAAATCGCTGAGATCTTTCTGTAGCCCCCAAATACCAGATTGAAGTTCATCGGGCTTGGTGTTGCGAGTGAGCATAACTCGTCTCGAAAATTCCATAATTCGACGTCGCATGTGCTGTATTCGGACATGGAGAGCGAGACTTCCAATGTCTTCAGCTTGTGGGTTGCGAGGCTTATCGGGTTCGTGAATAAGTCTTTCGGTCGGTTGTGGCAGGTCAAATTCAAAGTTGCGCTCGTTGCATGGTAATCCTACATGGATTTTATCAGCACTCCAAAGCGAGTAGTCACGATATCCACCAGAGACACCCGAATCGATACAGTAGAGGGCCCACATGAGTCGACGGCGAGACTCTTGAGCAAGGAAACAAAGATTTGGAGCTTCGTGATTCAAACGTAGAGCTGCAGCATATCGAGATGCTATACTCAACAGCATAAAAGCGCTTGGAGATTTCTTTGATAGGATACGGTGCTTGATAATCAGGACAAGCGCCTGCACTTTGATGGTTGAAGGCCGAGTGTAATCGGCAAAAATGAGACCCTCAGCATCGTCGATACATCTTTCACCATAATCCTTCATCCCCGGTCCCATATCTGTAAGGTACGATGTTATGCCAATCAGGGCCAGCAGAAGAGCCTTCTCCACCTTGCCCGAGTTGTATCGTCCTTCAAGGGAGGCTCGATGTAGAAACGAGAACATGGGAATATGATGGACATGATTGAAGAACTTGATAAAAGTTCGACCTATTAAAGCATCGAAAGACTCATCTGGAAAGGGACTACAACTGTTTGTTAGCCAGGGGAGCATTACCTACAACGTCAACTTACATTTCTGGTGCAAAGCCTTGGGGTGTTGCAGTGCTGGCTGGGTCGGTCAATCCAGGGTCACTATCGTTGTGGCCGTCATCTCGGTCACACTCATGGCTTTGCGGACTTGGTCCTTCTCTTAGAGATATGCGCGCTCTTTTGCTCGGTCTATAAACACACTCAATGCCTTGGGAACGGCAGCGATCGCATGACGGCATGTGGCCGGAACATCGGGCTTTTCGACTGTGGCAGCTAATACAAGCTTGTCGGACTCGGCGGCGAGGAAGGGCACCAGATAGAGCACCAGTGTCGCCATCATCGTAGGAACAAGGAAATCCTAGTCGCTCGCAGTTGGAACAGATCTCACGAGCGCCATTGCATCGTACTTTGCGAGCGCGACAGGTTGTACAGGTCAAAGACGACTTCTTTGGTTTGCGATCGGGAGAGTTGGCATGAGAGGCGGGTTGCGAAGGGTTGGCTGGTTGCTGAGACACTACCGGAGTAGAGGAGGTTGTGGCTGAGACGGGAAGAGGAGAGTCGAGGCTGGGAATGAGGTTATTCGGATGGTCGCCTGCGGCGGAAGCGAGATCCATGGCGACGTTGGTTTAACTTGGCGCATGGAGGGACCCAACGATTGGGACCGTTAATATCAGCTTAACAGTGAAGTTCAGAGCAATCCACCGCGACCAACGTCGAGTTCGACGAAGGCCAGAGGGTGGGGAAACGATTTGTATGGACTTTTTGAAATGTTTTTATTAGGAGAATTTGTAGTGACGATGGTGGTGATGTTTAGTGAGTGGAATGGTGGGAGTCAGAAGGCGGGCAGGTAGTGGAGGCGATAAGGAAGGTTGTCTTGTTTCCTTCCATGGGGCAGGCACTAGGGGTGCTAAATTGTGGGAAAATCGGGACCGGAAGGGGCAACAGAAGTGCATGCTGGGTGTATGTTTCCTAAAGATTGGGGTTGTTACAGTGAACGGTAGTGTACTAAAGCCTAAAGGTGTTGTTTGATTGGGGAATCCAAGTACATGGAGATGCAACGGGCCTCTTGTTCCATTCATTCGAGACCTTGAAATCATGCATCATGTTGAATGATATTTATTCCTTCATAGAGACAATAATTAATGCCGTCTAGGTTCTTGCCAAGTCAAGTACAACTCGGTGCACACCCTTGGGTAGCAGTTGCTCACATGAGATCTTCTTAAACACGGGCAGGTGGGGCAGAAAGCAGGTTCAATTGACACTTTCCCATTGTGCTCAGTGGTGATAGCCATATTTCGACGTCAGACTTGACAAAATCGGACACAGCAAAAGTCAAGTTAAGCGGAATCAACCAAACGCTATCGAACTCTTTCATCCTTCTTCCACCTCTCATTCTGTGAGCGTTATTTAACACAAAAACTTCTCTGGCCTCGATTAGCCGAGCCGATAGAAAACCCATGGAACGACGTTTTGTGGAGCAATTCGAGCCCACAAGCTTGGCAAAATGTCGTACCCAAGCCTCAATGGTCACAAAAGTCACCGCCTGTGTTTTTACCAGGGAGCATTGTTTGCCTGTGAGTTCTGCTCCTAACAGTGTGCGTTGTCGTTGTGATAGTACATTGATCAAAGGTGACAAGGTCAAAGAGGCGAGCTCTCCCTCAGCTGTGATACTGTTTACGAGTCAGTTATTCAAAATCAGGATCAAACATCATGTTGAGATAAAGAACGACAATCTCTCTATCTAATTTCGAGATAATGCTGAGGCCGGTTATCTCAATGCAACACACTTGGACACGCGACCTTTCTGACACTCCTGCCAGATACGTCGCAAACTCTATCGTCACTTTTTGTTCCCCTTACAGCAACCAACGTGACAGAAACCTGGGGATACGGAGTACCAATGAGAACAAGAATGGGCCGAGAAGCGACACCTTTGAAGGTCTGAGTCCCGCTCGATCCCGGCGCCTGGGCTTGAAGGGTCTCCGCCAAAGACCAGGCTATTGACCGGGATTAACAGTCAAAGTTTAGAGGGCACTGACCGATGCCAATTCTTCGAAGAATTAGAAGCGAAGAGCTGTAAATTGAAGAAGCTCGAAATGGTTGCATCGCCAGTCTCAGATAATAAGAACTGATCGACTGACTCATTGCCTGAACAAATCGAAAGCGCTCTCCTCGAATCGAATCGGTCAAGGATACCGACGGCCCGAAGTGAGCTGATGAAATTGCGACCAACCGAAGGGAAAAAAGACGGACAAATCTTTGGTTAGCTTGTTCGCTAGCGCATATGCAAAGTAACAATGGACGACTGCGTCATTTAACCGACGGCCGCTCCGACTCCCGGAATATCATCGTTTTGATCCCCAGTTCGTGTTGAGGCACATTCACCCATTCAAGATGCCTGCCGCTTGAACACAGCCGGTAACAGAAGGGCATTCAATGCGTGGCTTCGGGGAAAGGAGGTTGACTTGGTAACATGGATCTTACTGGCCTGCTATCCTCGGGTTAGTTTTCAGCCCAACATCTCATGAACAATACATCATGATGATTATATGACTGACCATCACTTTGATGCTTAACCACACCATCTCTTGCGGTCAAGGGTCCTTTACGTGGGTTGAATCGGTGTGTTACTCGAAAAGACTTTCGCGGCTTACGAGCAATAACCCTACAGTTTAAAGCCTCTGTGTCGAGCAATACATACCTTGATCTTTCTGGCACTACTGGGACTTTATGGAACAGGAGTTTTCTGGAATCTCGGTTGCAAGAGAACACTGACATCAGGCGCAGGATAGCTTTTACTCTCCCCCTTGTCAAGCTGGGCCAACAAATTCTGGTTGCCATCGACGGACAATTCCGCTTACAGGCCTTCATACCTGACAATATGCCCATCATGACACCGCAACACCGCACCTTAACAAAAACTGATAATGTTCCAAATAACGAACTCAGCTTTTTCGGCCATTTTTCTTGCATGACCCGATCATTTATTTGTCATTTCGACGACTGCAAACCACCTGAGGGCAGATCATGAGAACTCATAACACCACCGCCATAGCTCCCTTGGAGCTACTATGCATCCCCCGCAACTGATTGTTTAGCTGAATGCTAGTCGATGCACCAAGGTTCCTTTTTCGATTGAGGGTGTGTATACATGATTTCTGTTAATACCTGTGCAGCTCTAGCGTATGAGATCTGATAATGGGACACCTCGTTAAATACGTTTTGTCCTGGTCTCAAAGACAATATATATCAGCTCTTGAAATAGAGTCAAGAACGGGTATTGCGTTAACGTGTTTTCTTTCTGACTACGTACCGTATTGCTAGACGCCCGAAGATTTACCCCAGGCTGTTTTCAAGCCAGAGCACCAAAAGCAAACAGGCAGCGACATTTCCTCCTTCATCTATTATCCGTCCATGCCATCTTAGCTTCAGTAAGGAGAAATCGTGACACTTGAATTTGAATCCAGGCTTGCGGGCTGAAGGATATCCCAGCAGCCTTTCTCGCTGCTTCACCTTGCTGACGTTCAGCACTAGGGGCACTTGTGCTGCCCTGTTTGAGTTGCATCAGTAACAGCAATCAGGGACTGAAGGAAAGCTACTGCAAGTCATCATGTCCTCATGGTATCAATCGTATTCAACACCTCATAAATATCATCTATCCTCAAATCATATACTCAATTTCCTCTAAAGGATGGAAAGAAATCTTATAGACGCCCAAGCGCCAAACAAAAAACACGTGGGTATAATACTTTCAGCGCACAAGCACACTCTCAACTCTCATCTCAGTCGCTCACTCACTCATCTCCCCCCCAAAATCCATTCTGTTGCAGGAAGCTCGTCGCCAGCTTGTCACCTCCATGCTCAGCCGCTTCCATCCAGTGAACCGCGACACACATCAACCCCGGGTCGCTTCTCACATCACTCTCCTTGCCTTCACCTCCGAAACCTGTGCGGCCTCCGCTGCCGCCGTTACCCAAGCGGCCATACTTGTCCATAACAGTTTGCTTAAATACTTCGCGTGGCTTGGAGAGAGGGAGCGTTGTACGCTCAACGTATTCTGGGTTGGAAAGGTAGAACAGCGCAAGCTCGCGCTGTGCTGTTGGGAATCCTTCCTTAGCCGTGATTGTCCACATCTTACCCGCATCATCCAGTTTGTATGTTGTTGACGGCGGTGGTGGTGTGCCAGTTGTTGATTGTGGCACATCTGGTATCGTATTGTCGTTTGGTTTTCGCACGTGGGTGTGCGCTGCGACGACTTCATCTGCCATCTCTACCATGGTTCGGCAAACTTCTGACTTGAGCTTGAGAGCCGCTAGAGCAGTGTTCCAGAAAGCCTTGCCACGCTCCTGCTTGTCCAGCACTGAAGGTGGGACAAATGATGCGATAAATTGCAAATCGCGGAAGAGAGTCTTTGGTCGGATTGATGCCTCTCTGAATAGAGCTTGGAGTTCTTTGGTAATGATGTCGGTGTTGACGTTTCCACCCGACATAATTGATCGTGTCTCGGAGTTGGTTTGTCGAGGACCAAAGAATGGCGTCGCAAGTTGAGATTGAAGAGCTTGCGATCGACGTTCTTTGACGTTGTCAATTGTTCCCTCTAGAGGTGTAGGACGAGCGTTGGTGTTGTGCTCTGTTACAACGCTCGACCCAGCATCGGACCGGTTCCATCGCGGCCTCTTTTGTCCGCTTGACTGTAGTGCAGCTACAATGAGGTTCTCCAATTCATAAAGAGCATTCAGCTTCGCGTAAGGGTTAGGGTGAACGCAAAACATGTTGAGAAGTCGTTGGTATGCCTTCTTGAAGGGAAATTCTGATTTGTCCTTGTCCTCCTTAGCCACAGACAGACGCGGCGTGGATTCATTGGTGCTGGATCCCTCAGTCGGAGGAACTTCCGAAGTTTCTGATGCGTTATCACCGGCACCCCGGAGGTTACCAAAACTCTTCTTCTTCTCAATGACTCTTGGTCGACCTGAGCTTCGCTTCTCCTTGATCTCAGAGCGACGTCGGGCTCGACGATCAAGAGCATCCTTACGATCAATGCACTGTTGTCCCAGTTTGTCAAACCAGCCATCAGTCTCAGAACCCTTGGAGAAGACTTGGTTGCCAAGGTCAGAAAGCAAGAGACTGGTAAGGGATTGTCTCAGCTCGTTCAGGAAGCGTGTCTTCTCATCATCCGACTTCTGGTGTTGGAAAACAGTCTCATTGGACGACGCTGAAGTGCCCGGGCGCCCGGTTCCAGTTGAGAAAGTTGAGTTGGAAGGAGCAGTGCCATGCTGAGAGTGAGAGAAGGTTGTAGATAGGTTTGTCATACTCGTTGTGGGCGAGTAACCTCGAGAAGCTCCTGAACTAGGAGACATAACTGGCTGGAATGGCGACCAGAAGGTGCTAGCTGAGTCGTTGGTGTGCGCAGGCGAAGCACGATCAAAGTACTCTTGACCATCAAGAATATCTGAAAGTGCTGAGCTAGCTCGAGGCATTCCTTGTCGGACAGAGTCAAGAGATTGCTGGCTAGGGTTGTGCATCGACAGCGATCTCAGATCACGAGCAAGTGAGTTGGGTCTGCTTGACGTAGGACTGAACTTGCGATCTTCGCTGATGATGCTTCCAGTGTCATCTCCAGTCCAGGACATTTCCTTCTCCCTGGCTCTGGCGCGGTCATAACCAAGCTTGTCTCGCTTGTAAAGCTCGCTAGACCACAAAACTGGTGCATCTCGGATAGTCTCGCCGACGAGTCTCGAGATACACTTGTCCACCTCGTAGCAGAACCTGTGGATTCGCTCCTCACCCATACAGAAGTTCTCAATGCCACGGTTCTGAAGCCATGCTGCAGTGGCTTCAGCAGGGTCATCGCTAAGCTTGTTCGGTCCACCTTGTTCTTCAGACGCGGCTAGAAGGTCCATAATCTGAGACTCGGTGCGGTAGAGATAAGAGGAACTTGGCCCTCTAGCCATGTGGGCACGAGATCGTTGGAAGGAGTTCCAGCGTCGAGGCATGCCCATGGTCTTGAGAGCTTGGCAAATGTCACGACTGTGGGCATACTCCTTAGAGTTACGCACATCCGTCACATACCACATCTTATCTCGTACAGATCGCACACGTTTCATCATGCGGTCGATAATGCCCTCGTGGCGTTCTTGACTCTGCTTGAGCCAGACGAGCCAAGCATCATACTCCTCGATAGCCGAAGCAGATCGGCGGATTGAATCTCTTGGACCACGAGAGAAGATGTTGATCAGTACCGCGAAGCCGTTGGCTCGGAGTGAGGGAGATGCAAGAGCATTGAGTTGATTGAGGGTCTTCCAGTATTGATGAGAAGAGACAAAGTCGGCCAGGGCCTTGGACTGCGCTGAGGCTGCCTTGAGCATGGTAATGAGGACAGCTTCTGACTTGTCATCCTGGGATTCTGACTCTGAAATAGATGCCTGTCGCTTCCCGTTGGCCTCCTTGTCAAGGTGCTTCCTGTATGGATTGCGGCTGGCCATCGACCGCTCAGTAGTAATAATTCTTGTCTTCGACTTGTACCTCTTGAGACCAGAAGCACGGTTACTAAGTTGCGTGCGGCTGTTCTCAGGCTCAAGGCTACGGGGAATCTCGTAGTCCTCCACCAACTTGAGGATTGAATCTCTCAGTTGGTGATAGTCCTTGTCGAGCTCGGGTCCGTCATTTGCGTCTTCCTCATCTGTATCAGTGCTAGATGAGTTTTCTTCGTCGTCCAATTCCTCATCAGGATCGAATGTCATGTTAGTGGACAAACTCTTTCCATCAGAGGAGATGAAGAGAACAAGCCATCGCTCTGCGCAAGGGTGACATGAACCACGGACGATATCTTGACCTAGATTCTGTTGCATCTCGTGGAGTGCAAGGCGCAGTCGGTAGCCGTCATCTTCATACTTGTTCAAACGCCTTTGAAGCTCCGAGTCCATCGCTGGAGGAGAGTAGCGCTGAGGTGTAACAGAGGTCTGCTCGTCCAAGTAGTCATCCCTGGTAGTAGAGTCACTAAATACTGAAGAGACGCTCGTGCTGATGATAGAGGCAGTGTCAAAGTTGTTTCTTGTGCTTGACATAGGGATGGGCTGGGAGATAGCAGACATGCCAGAAATAGAGGCTGGGCCTGATCTAAAGCTGCCAGAAGCCGAGTGAGGTCTTCTTTCGGGAAAGATGGCATTAATCAAGGTCGCGAGATCAGCTGGGCTAATCACCAAATAAGGATGGACCTCCTTGGTTTCTCTCAAGGAAGTGATGGACCTCGCTGGGAGTAGCTTGGCAGCGGGAGCCTTGGATCGAGATCCTTGGAAACGGGCGAGGATGCTTTCCACATGGCCCTTGATCTTTGGTGGTACGTCGACGGGAACACAGGTTGCCGAGGGCTTACCACTCCACATGCTGGAGACATACTCATGAGCCTTCATGGCTACCTTTTTCAGAATCTTCTCACGCGCATAAGGTGTGATGTGATACTCAGCCAGCATTCCATAAGACTCCGGGTGAATAATGACGCCGAGGAGAAAAACGAAGAAAAGACACCTCCAGACCAACCAGCGAGAGGTGTTTTCGACATACTTGTGGTCGAGTTTCTTCAAAATGGCATTTCCAAGCTCCAAGAGTCCTTCGGGTATTCCGGTGGCATCCTCGTCGTCAACAAGCTCAAACAATTGGTTAACTGCTCGCTCATAGAACTCTTTGGCCGCGACCTCATCCGACGAATTCCAATCAGAGAGGTTGAATCGTGTACCATGTTGGTCCTCGGCCCGGTCCAGCAAAAAGGCTCCATCCTCGAGGATCTTCATCAGGTACCATTCCATATTGGACTTGCCAGACCAGTCACGCATTGCTGTCCAGATGTTGAGAACGGAAATAAGAAAGTGCTCTCCAGTAGATTTGGGTTCCGAGATAAGCCTTGCCAAAGCAGTAGCCCAGATTTCGGTTCGTCGTTGATCCTCAGAACTATCAGGTCCAGCAGAATTGGCAAAGCAGGTATGAATAAGAATGGATAGAGGATCGTGGCGTTGGAAAGACAACAGTCGCTCTATATCCACAGCAGTGCTGTTCTTGGGCGCACTTGCATGGGATCTTCCTCCAGAACGGCCATGAAAGGGCAGGACGGATTCCACGGGCTCCAAACCTTTATGATAAGACAAGAATGAGTTCAACTCGGAGCTTGACAGAGAACATATACGAGTGGCCAAATAGTCAGGATTTGTACGGAGCTGAGTAAGAAATTCCAAAAATGTATCTCGAGCAGAAGCAGAAATGTCGTGTAGAAATGGCGTTATAGATTTGAGAGGGCCCATAGCTGCCGAGTTAGTGGGAGTGTCCAAACTTTCAGAAGATCCAAGACCGCCGTTGGCGAGGCCTTCCATCTCGGGATCGAGAAGAGCATAACGACGGAGTTCGTCGCAGCTGTTGCGTACATCATGGATAGCGCTGTACAGGGCAGAGAAGTTCTCCTTGTCGTCACGACGGAAACTGTCGACCAAATTACGATGAGCTATTTCCCCGCAGCGGGTCAAGCGGGCGCTGAGAGCAGTAGAAACCAAATTCCTTTGAAGACGTAGACGATTGTTGGCGCGCTTGCGCTCCTGGTACTTAGACAGTCGCACTAGATGGGCCAGTTCCTCGAGAGTTGTACTTTCAGATTCGGGTTGAAGGTGTGGATTTGTGTATTGCGAAACATCTTGAAGTAACGGTTTGAACTTTGAAGAGGAATCGTTATCGTTTTCGTTGGTGCTAGGCTTTAGAGCCGAAACTCTAGGACTGTTTCTTGGTGACGGTTGGCCAGGCATATTTGGTTGTGCCACAATTGGCTTTCGGGACGACATGACTGGTGACTGTTGGTGAGCATGACCTCGATGTTCTTTGTCATCCGAGTTCCGCGAAGACTTCTGTGTGGGATCGCGGGTTGGGCTAGGGCTCGGCGAGCGTCGTCTTCGTGATCGAGGTGGTTGCACATGAATATCGACAGACGGAGGGGGCGACCCCGAATCTTGCGCAACAGTGGACGACCCAGCTATAAAGCCAGTCATCAGTATAAGTAAACATGCAGAGTCGGGACTGGAGACGGGCTGGTAGCGACGTCGGAGACGTACTGGGAGCAGTATGAATGCGGACTGGTGAAGACAGAGATCGTTGCATAGAAACCATTTCGGAAGAGGAAACTGCGTCGCAATCGCGCAGCTATGGCAGCTCTCTATGAGGCGCCGCCCACGGGCTTGTGAGTATAGGTACTGTTATGTAGGTTCTGTATGTATATGGCTCGAAGATGCAGGCGATTCGCAAGGAAGATCGTTGTACGAGGATTCGAGAGGGGCGCTAGACCTGCCAGCGAAGATCGGACGAAATAAAGAATGACAGGGCGCGAGAGGTTGGAGAGATAATGGATGGCGCGTTGGCTAGTACTGTACTTCGGATCGGATCGTATCACGGGCTGGAGTCGCACGTTCTATGTAGAGAACACAAGACTAAACAAAACAACGGAGAATAGGGGAGAGGGGAGGTCCTAGGTAGAGGAAGAGAGGAGAGGAGAGAAGAGAGAAGATGTGGGAGGTCAGAGAAGAGTTGAAGTGGGAGGTGGGGGGAGAAGTAGGTATCGTGGGAATGATATGGTACCAAGGCAGTGAGTGACTGTCTACCGGTAATAACGAACGGGGCCTCACAACTGGCACCTGTCGGTTTTGCCGACTCGACTTGCATAGAAAGAAACCGGACAGAACAAGACCGATACAGGCACAGGCACAGACACGAACACAGACAGACAACCTTGGCTTTGGACAACGAGATCGGGCTGGGCTGGGATAAGGATAGGATCCAATATGATGGGGTAGAGGTATCCAATGGAACCTGAACCTGGACCGATCCCTACCACTAAAGTTACTCGCTATAACGGACGGGAACAGGCGGTACGGTACGGTAGTGGAGTGGGTACAGTACCGCCTTTTGGGGGGGGG